CTTTGATTAAAAAAAAGTATAAAGATATAAAACAAATGAAATTTTAATGAAATTAATATAAATTATGTTTATTTAAATTTAAATTGATTTATTTTATATGCAACATATTTCCATTTTTATCTAGAATCATGACATTTGAGAAAATAAACATTTTAATTTAATTATTGATAAATTGAACTTCTCTTTATTTTTTTACACTTGGAACATATTATTTCTTCGAACATCCTTTTTAACAATTTATTCGTTTTTATTTTAACTCAGATAATCTTTATCAATTAATAAGATTCTTCAATGTTGAGTTATATTACAATACTCTTAATATTTGAACATAAAATCAATCATCTTTTATTTTCTGATTTAAATTTCATTGGTGTAATTTTAAATATCTTCAACCCTATTTGATTTGAACAATAAGTTCTTTTACACTGATATAACCTTTTTATATATTTTCTCGTTAAACAATATCCTTCAAAAACACTTTATATTCTCTTATTGTTGTTGGAAATAAATTAAATCTATCAAAAGATTTAAACTGTTCTTTACACTTACTTCTTTCTTTATAAATTTATAATTTTCATTGGTCTAAATAAATAATCTTCTCTTTGATATTTTTTCAATAAGTATTATTTCTTTGAAAACTTGCTTAATATATTCTTTATTTATTTTAAACATTATCCTTTTTCCTAATAAATTTCTTTTTCCTCATTAAATATTTGAATAACATCACTCCTTCTTATAAATTATTTATTATCTTTCCTTTATCATATCTATTAGACGACATTCTATTCTATTTAGATATTCTAAATATAAATAATATAAACATTATCGCTTCTTCGTTACAGTATCCTATTCCTTTTTAACCTTTCTTCTTTACTTTATATTTCTTTTTTTTCTTTTATTTAAGTATTTCTTTCTCAACTTCTTATTCTTTTATTTTTAGATATTCTATTTTTGTTATATTTTAAATCCCATGTTCATATTATATAAATATTCTCTTCTTTATGTTCTTTATATTATACCATTAATCATTCTCTATTACATTTCATTGATATAAAATTATTATTAACACTTCAAAATAAACATACTTCAAATTTTAATATTAATGTTTGTAAGCCCATAACCTAGTTGATTTATTATCTTTTTAATGTTATTATGTTATTATTGTTTATTCGTGTTCTTTATTGGCTATATTAATCATATCATATATTAGTTTTACTTCATATAAAATATTCCCTCAAAAACACTCTTTATAAAACAAAAAAATCGTTTTGTTATTTTTATCTTAAAACTTTAATATATACAAACAACAAATATTACAATTGTATTCTGTTCATATAGTTCTTGTCAGTTGGATAATACTACCTTAAAATAATAAACACCTAAAAACAAAAGATATAAGAAACTTGTCTAATTTGCTATACATTAATTTTCCTTCATAAATAAACATGAAAATA